TTATACCTGTCCGCAAAGATTTCTTTTTCCATGTCAATATCTTTTAAAGTGCAATGATTTAATAACATCTAGAAAAAAATAATTTAAAACCATTTTAAATTATGTATTGGTTAGATAAATAATTTATTTATTTAAAATCAATTTTTACCTGGTTAATGTCTTTATATAGTTTAAGACGAGATAAAATATTTGAAGTAGCATCTTCGTCAAACATTAAAATATAATGAGCATCTAWTGTTTTTGCTCTACTTTTAGACCTTAGATATGATTTGTATGAAAGTGGTATATTATAATTAATCACTAAATTACATCGAGGTAAATCAATTCCTGCTTCTAATACTTTAGTTCCAATAAGTACATTACATTCTCTTTGTCGAAACCTGAAATAACCATTTTTATACTAAATTATTAATTGCAATCAAATACAGTTTATTGAAAATAATCTTTTATAAAAAATGTATACAATCAAACCTTCTTAAAGTTTCTTCTTGCTTTTTATGTTCAATTTCAAATTCTTTAGGTTCAGTAATTGGATCTGCTTCTTTATCTACTGTGTATTGAGGTTGAATCCAACCAAAATCTTCTTTGTTACTGTTTTTCAAATCCTAAAGAAGATAAAAACAATAAAATAATTACTTCATTTTAAATTAATTTAACTGATAAAAAATAAAATATGCTTACTAAAAATAAATAATACAAAATAGAAGCTGTCATTTTGTTGTTTACGAGAATTATAGCACAAACAGTTTCTTCATACGGATCTCTTGATCGTCCTTGTTTTCTATGAGTTCCATATCTCCTAGCTAATTTCCAATTACGTCTTATTGATTTAGATTTGATAGTTCTATCTTTTTTTTCTTTTTGATCTTTACATACTTCAACATTGTTACTATCTGCTTTAAAAGATTTTGGTTTAAATTGTTTGAGAGTATTAATAATTCGTAATACACGAGGAGAACTAAATTTCAGTACTTTATCAATATTACTATAATTATAAAAAATATCATCAAATGTGGCTCTTATTTGAATCAATAATGTAGAAACAATACATAACAAAACATAGTGTCTTTCATATGGAGTTTTAACTTTCAATTTTTCTACCATATACAGGAGTGTCAAGGCAGCTTTATCTGCACAATATGGACCCATTGTTTTTAAAATCTCCAAAAAATCAGCTATCATTTGTAAAGGTTCATTTTTAGGGTTAGGTATTTGTTTTAATTCTTCACCAAATTCTTCATCGTCTCCATATATGATAGCAGGCTCATAATTATGGTCATTTAAGAATTCAGTTAAACTCTGCACCATTGTCTTTATCTTAATATTGGTAAGATCTTCTGTGTGAATAGCACATTCAATGAGAACTTCTTTAGGTTTACAACAGTGACGCAATATAGAAACAATATCACTGGCAGTCTCGATAGATGAAATCAATTTGTGTGATATAAATTTCAATTGATTTTCAATAAAGAATGGATCAGAATCAAATTCAAATAATGGATGAACAATACCCAATATTCTACATTTACTATTTGGCTTGATAAAATTGCAAATCTAAAAAAATAAAAAGAATTTCAACATTACTTTCGTATTATTTTACTATAAAGTAAAACCTCTATTTGAAGACATCTGTTTGCCAAGGCCTACCTACAGAACAGGGGTTTATTCATTATTGGCTATAGCCACCTTGAGAATAACTATCAAAATAATATGCGAATTCCGATTAGATATTTCCTAAATTTCATCAATACATATTAAATAAAATTATATCTATGCCTAATGCTGAATATCGGATGATTTTTTTAATCACTGAACACTCATTATTTCAAAATGTATAGATGTTTAAAAAAAAATGTTCATGGTTTCTAGCCACTAAAAAATACAAAATATTTTTTATGCCAAACATTTTTAAGATTTTTATCTTTTTGAAAGACAATATTCAGTTTTAATTTCATATTCCAACAGAATATTTTTCTAAATACTCGTATTTCAATACATAAAAATTAAATTTAGAATGAGTAGTTTTTGACTTTTAAGTATTTAAAATTTTAAATAAGTGGAATGGTATGAGGTTATCTCACCAAATATTGATTTACTGCTCCACACATCAAACTTTTGATACTTTTTTATAACTAGCCAGGAAGGTTTAAGGTCCAGACCTTGATCCCCCCCCCCAAAAAAAAAAATTGATCAATATTTTACTGGAGTGGTTCCCAAAACCGCTGTGACGCGAGAAATGTCTGATTTTTGTATTTATGCTGATAAAAAATATTGAAAACAGTAATTTATTTCCTTACATTTTTGTTGGTGAGTGTGCTGTGCAAACTTGTAATGTATAATAGTGTGCCATGAACTAAAAAAAATTAAGAACCACTGTTTCACAGGCTTTGGTCTAGAAGTTATAACTCATAAATACTCATCCTAAATTTGATTTTTATGTATAAAAGTACCTTAAAAAAATATTCTGTTTTTAAAGACAAAATTCAAACTATGATAACAATTAATTTTTTTAATATTTATTTTAGAAAAAAGTATAGTTTTAAAGGATTAGAAATCATGAAAAGAATATTTTCAAAAACATTAATACTTTCAAAAAATTAATATCTTGCATTAAATTAATCACCCGATATATGCATACTACATTACTACATGCAGCACTTACATCTCTTAGTGATAAAAGTCTGTTACTGATGTCTGTTTTATAGAGTTTTTACTTTAATCAAAATAATTAATCTGATTAGAAAAAATTTAAATACCTTATAATAAGTACTATTTTCCTGAATTATTTTCTGGCAGTTATTGAATATAGCTAAGTTAAGCTGGTCAAATCGCAAATATTTTTTTTCAAATAATTCTAAACATAGGTTTTCAGTAGTAATAATTACCTGGAAGACCAAAATCAAAATATTTAAAACATTTTTTAGGAGGAAAAAAAGATTATAATATTTAATACAAACCTCATAATTAATAAAATCCAAATGATTGACTGATCTGATGTCTAATGGTTTTAAATCTGTCAAATGTCCAATAGAAAACATGTACTGATCAATTTCTGTTTCTTCTAAAACAAGTAAAGTCCATTTTCTTTTTTCAGATTTCCTATAGAAAATCAATTTATTTATCATTTGATCATTGTTAATATTAATATTTAATTTTTATGACTAACCTGTAAATTTTAAAAGCAAGTTCTCGAATGAGTTTTAAAATAACAAATACCTTATTTGTTGTACCTTCTAATGAAATAATTATATTTTTGTTTTTAGCTGAACTTAGAATTTCAACTAAGTACTCTTGAGGAGTAAATGTTCTAGTATGTATATTATCACCGAATGTTAACGCCATTAAATTAAATTGAAAATTAATCCTGATAGACAGAACTTCCTAATTGAATAACAAAATTAAATGTTTTATTTCCATTAATGACATAAAATAAATTTTTTTTTTTTTTAGTTTTCTATTTTCTAATTAAAAATATTTATTTCAACAAGTTATTTTATTTAGTTGTGCAGCTTATGCTTATGACTAATAACTTAATATAAAAAGTTATACATAAATTACATACAATTTAAGCGATGACAATTTTAAATTAAAATAAGCTAATAATTTATCAGCTAGCATTGTATTATTGTTTATTCRTAACAATAATATTGGTTATAAGTTACAACGCTCAACATTTATGGTTTTGATAAAAATATTAAAGTTACACCAGTTTTCGAACATTCAAACTCTTTATTACTAGTCAAGTGTGTGTTTAAATAAAATACAATTCTCTAACAGTTATGATTTAATAATAATAGAACTGGTGTATTTTTATTTTACAATCATTCATAGTATGAGAGTAAGAGCTAAATTAGAAGTTATTATCTTATACAAATTAAATATCATAAAAATAAATTTGAAATTTTCTTAAAAAATACTGCTCCTATAAAATATAATATACCCATTTTTATTATTAATAGCATTAACAACATATAAGTTATAGGCGATGGAACCTAACWAAAGTTTTTTGTGAAAATAAATTCATAAAATCTCACTAAATAATTAAAAATTTTCCATTAAAGAAGTCAAGCAATCGCTTCACATGATTTATGAATTTGTTACCACTGGTCATAGGTACTAAAAGTATGTACATTTACATATATGTATATATAAAAACAAACAAAAATTATTTTTTATCAAAATAATTATTTAATTATTCAAGTAGGTAGGTGGACCTTAAAAAAAATATTATCTTTTTCTTTTATTCAAATAACAAAAAATTATACATACATAAATATTGTCACTGATGAATAAAGTCTCTCTCCAATAAAAATAAATTCAATTTCTAAAATATTATTAACTTCATTATTGAAACTAAATTAAGATAATATTAGTAATGCTTCATATTATTAAAAATAGTTATATGATTGTTATTATTTAAAAGATCATTAGATTCTTGAAACTAAATACATTGGAATTTATGTAGACTGGTGGACGTCTGAACTATGGACCGATGGAAGACGGCTAAACGCACTTTTTGTTGTAGTGTACGACTTCAAAGGAGTTATAAACAAGTATAATATGAAAGGAGTCAGGATTACTGGTTATTTAAGGAATAAGAATAACAAATAACAGGAAATCTGCAACTTTAGACATGTTTTTCACTTTGTTTTTGTTTTTGTTTAATGTTTAGTTTGTTTAATGTCTATTGTCTGTGCCTGTCCTCAGTCCTGTCGTTGATTTTAGTGAGATAAAATATTACGATAACAGATTATAATTCAATCAATAAGTGCACCATAGGGCATAGGGTAATATTCAGTATTAACAGTATATTATACCATTTCATGGTAATATCACAGAATTATTATTCTGTGGTAATATTATATTACTCTATGAGGTGCACCAATCACGAACTGTGATCACGAACTACACAGAACAATGATAAGCATTGATAATCAATACGATTTGGCGGGAATTATCGTGAAATTATTATAAACAATGCATTTTTATTATCATTTAAGTTAAAAAAAAAACGTTAAAAAATAACCACAGATTTGCACAGAATCACCAAGTCAATCATTTATTAGTTATTACTCATTACTTCATTAGTCATTTGAGCATTAGATTATAATAATTTCTRTTATTTCTATGAAGTATGAACCATCGCCACGCATCCTGGTGTATTAAGATTTAATAATTAATTATCTTTTAATATATAGGTACCAGTTTTTTGTAATTTATAATATTTTATCAAGAATAAAGTTAATTACAATTGTTTTGGATTTGTAAATACTTTAATAATCGATTGCTTTATTTTGCTATAGTTGTAGAACAACATATCTGTTTGGAATAATTATTTTTGTTATTTATGCATTCATATGTCAACACTTTCAATTTTCATACTGATCAACTATTTATAAMATATTGAGTTTAAATTAAACTTGGAATACCTAATCGTAATTGTTCTGTGGCAAAATGGAAGCAAGAATAAGTCATCATATTCAAGGTATATCTATGCTAAGCAGAAAAACTATTCCTCCAACATTGAATAAACATCTAACAAATGTAAGTTTTTGTGTTTATTTAAAAATGTTATTTATTTATTAATGTTAAATGTAAATTACATTTTAGAAAATATTTAATAAACCAAACAAAGAAGCCATGGAACAGGTGTTATATTATCTGCTTCCATTAACAGAACCGAATTGCTTAAAAACTGTACCTTGGCCAATAACTAATTTTAAAGAAGCTGCTGAATTCCGAAATACAGCTACAGTCCTTATTAATGTAATTATATTATTGTTCATTTTATATAACCATAATGATTAAAATTATTAATTATTTTAAGGGCAGTTCTTACAATGTCTGGTTAAAGTTAATGGACACTGGACACTTAACTGGCAGAATTCTGCCAGTAAAAATCTCACTAACCATCAGTTAACCGTTTACAAACACTTAAGAGGATGCCGCACCTGCATGTGTTGTCTTTGTCTTACAAGTGTGTAACATAGCAAATGTTACGCTTAGCAGTTCAAATTTAGTTCCGTTAATTTAAAATTAAACGAAATTGGAACTTCTGAGCGTAAAATTTGCTTTGTTATGTACTTGAAAAACGGAAACAACACATGTGGGTGTGGCGTCTTCTTAACCGGAGATTGTAAGAACCAGACTTAAGAATGGAAAAATAATTGTCTACATAGGTATTAGTATACATTATGCTTTTTTTTAGGGTTTGGATGGGTTTGTTTATGAAAAATCTTCTAATGTTGTTTCAAAAGTTAATTCATCATTATTAGCAAATCCTGGTGGCCCTGTCTTTATTTTTTTTATGTATCAATTTTGTTTATACATAAAGTGTTGTGAATTTAAGAAAAAGGGTATAGTATTTTAATTATATTAATATAATTTAATTAATACACTCAGTTTTCATTTTATAACTGATAATTAGATATAAATATAAAATTTGTTTTTTTAACCCATCGTCATTGGTATTCGTGTTAAAAGCAACGTTCACCTTGAGAACCATCAGTTTAAAATTTAAATATTATTAGATTTTCCTGAGGCTATTAAATCGTCAATCAACGTGTTTCAAAATATAATTTTATAAGCTAAAGAATTTTATAAATATTTCTTTAGAACTTATCAACCTGTTAAGTCATAAACTCATAAGTAACCTTAAGTAGTCCCTTAAGCCCTTAACTATTTTTTCCTTTAATAATAACTATTCAAATTCTGATTTTTAGAATTTTTAAATAAACATGAAAACAAATTTTAAAATTCTTGAATTTTGTTGTATTAGTTAAGAACCTGTGGCAATACAAATTTCTGTTTTTCAAATGAAAACCTCTCTCTTTTACTGTAAATTGTTTAATGCATTATTTTTTTGAAATAGTTTATGTGCCCGATTCAAAATTTGAATGAATAGTTTTTAAGACATTTGTAGGTACTAAGAATAATTTACCTTAAAAATGATTTTAGTAAAATATAAAAATAGATATAATATTGGATCTAGTATTTATCATATTTGTTTCATTTTTTCAAATTATTAATAGTGGACATATATAGATTAATATTAATGACTCAAAATTTCAAATCACCATAGTCCTCAGATCTTATAAACCTATATTACATAGATCTTTCGTTATTAGAACACAAAGTTAAATTACTCATAAACTATTTGTACCATATTTGATTCTGATATCTGATACATCAATTTTCAAAAAAATTATCCACTGAAAAATACACAAATTAAACCAGGCATTGTCAAGTTTTCTAAAAGTCAAAAAAATCTCATTAGTTATTAGTTTTTCAGATTCATTTGTCACTTTTAAAACAATTTTTCTATCTTACAATATTTTTTCTCATTTTTTAAGTATTATTTTGTAATTTGTATGATATGATCAATACAATTATTTAGATTGGTTATTGATGAGAACTTATTTTAATTTTTTATGTTTCTTGTGGTATCACAAAAGAGCACCATACAAAATTTGATCCAAAAAAAGGGCATCACTGGCTTAAAAAGTTGGGAACTGCTCATAATATATTGTATAATAATAGAAGTTTATGTAAACAAAACAAAAACATAATTATAAAAAATAATATTTGATGTGCGTTTTAAGTAGAAAAATCTTTTTATAATGTAATTTTTAATTGTTATTATTTTAAATGCTTTCTATATTAAAAAATAAATAACTGATGTTGATTTCAATATTTTATGGTTATTTAGTAGTTATTAATAACAATAAAATAATAAGGTGTGAACAATACCAATGTTGGAATATTTCGTAGCAATACCAATGACGAGTAAAGTAAACTACATATAGTATTATTGCTTATAATAAAGGTTATAAATTAATAATAATTGCTAATAGTGGACTAAATCAAGTGATTATTGTGATTATTTAACTAATTGTATACATTTATAATATGTTTTATTTCAAGTGAAGTTTATAATCACAAATAATGATATAAAATTTTTATTCTATTGTATTATCCATTAACATTAATTAAGTGACAAGTGTTTAGTATGTAATATCTTATTTTTTAATTTATGTTTAGGAATTGTTTTTTTAAATGCACCACTTTATATTGAAGACAAGTTTATTGACAAAAAAATATCAATGTTTAATGGAATATCAAATAGTAATTTTAATGAAGTAAATGAAATAATTTCTCGAGTTGGTTGTATTCTTAAAAATACTACAGATATAGCTGTGTAAGTAACTTATTATAAAAAAAATTATTTTATTTTAGAAAATATTTAATATTTTAGAAAATATAAAGAAATCATTCAAGATAGCAAGCAACGTATTAAAGATTTTAAATCTGAATTACTTAATATTGAACATTGTGAAGCAACTGGTATGAAAATAATTTTTAATATGCATGAAAAATTTGTGATTTGATTTTAATTCATTAAGGCTTAGTACAGTGTCGGTCTAGTCACTAAAGGACCCAGGCAAGATTTCTGTTTGTGGCCCATATGTGAGTAGAAATATGCCGGTAGTCCGCATATGAGAGTAGCAAATTAGCTGTAGAGATTTAATGTATTTTGATTTTAAAAAAAGCTAGCAGCCTGACAAYGACCATTGCCTTGACCAGGCCGACACTAGTTTAGTATAATATATTTAAATATATGAACCCATTATTGTTTATTATGTTTTTTTTACATATTTGAAGCAAATGAAGTCTCGGAATTAAAACAAAAATGTATTAATTTGTATACTAACTTTCAACAACATAAATTAATTGCTTTGAAGTGTGCTATATTAACTGATATTATATTAAAAACGCAAGAAACTTTAGATGCCAATATAGTACATTTAACTTTTGATGTAAGTTTTAAATTAATGTTATTTTATGATTTTGTATCTTTCTACCTATTAATATTTACATGTAGATAAATCAAGAAGAATTAATGGACAGTTATGGAAAAGTAGATTTGGTTATATTTCTTAAGACCATAAAAAATACTTTAAARAGTTATATAAATTGGTGTGAACAGCTAAATGATGATGGAAAATTGAATATTATGGTTAAAGAATCACAACAATCAGTTATTGAGATGACAGATCAAATTCTATCTTATGAGAAACATATTAAAGCCTTAAATAATATAGTTGATCATTTAAAAATTGAAAATCAAGTATTATATAAAGAAGTATTTACTAGTAAGTTAATTTATGTATTATTTTTATTATTATGTTCAATTACAAAATTAAAAAGGGTGTCAAGTGAGTACCACTCTGCTGTATAGAAGGGGTATTAAAAGTCTGATGTCACAGATGTATTAAAGTTAAATTCAATGATATAAAATCATTATATACAAAAAAAAAAATTCTATGCAAACATTTACAATGCCCTCCCGAAGAAAATTAGAAGAATAGTAAATACAATAAAATAGTTATCAGACAAACGTAATTTTTTATATCACCACGAATCATCTACAATAGATTTATAAGAGTCAACACAGTATTAACAAATTTCATGAACAAAACAGTTGATTTGTACATAGGCGCAACTAGATCTCTAAAACGAGGGGTGYTAAATCTGTGAATACATCACATGGCCATGGGGGGAAAAGCCTCCCACACTCCMTACTCATAGACCAACTTTAATCAATACATCAAAACTTTAAAAAATATATTAAGACTTTTTATAAAAATAAAAAAATGAATAACATTTATACTACTCTTTTTTACTATAGTATCAGAAACATATTGAAACATTTTAATTTCATAATCCTGTTAAATAAATAATAATTTCTACATTTGAATCAGCATAATTTTTCTGGGTTTCATGCAATATTTATTCTAAATAGTTTCGGTGTTTATCTAATTGAAAAAATCTTTTTCAATATTCAACAAAGATAAATTACAAATTATATTATACGACCAAAGAGTTATACATTTTTTCAGGAAATTTCCTATCMTTTATAAACATAAAATTCATAATATTAGGTATATAATAATRATTATGAATAAAAAACAAGGGGTGCTAAATTTTAACTTGGGGGTGCTAAAAACCTTTTTGCACCCCCCTAGTTGTGCCACTGGATTTATAACTGCACAGCTTAGTAAATAGCCGAATTGGTTTTTTTAGATTGTAGAACATATTGAACTAAAAAATTAGAAGACTGTTTCCAGCTATTATTTTTATTTGAACTTATTTTTTTTTTTAATTTATCCTATTTTCGTATTTATATAGAAAGTAGAATAAGTAGAGTAAAATAGTTTGGATATTATATTCCTGATAGTAATCTAACTTTGGATTAGATTTTTTTTATAACAGCTTCACAATTGTTAATACATACATAACTTTAAGTACAAACATTTTTTTCTTAATGTTAAATAATTGTGCCACTCCATTTTTTTTAAATGCCACTCCCCCCCCCCAATTGAAAGAAAAAACTGATGTCAAGCTCTACGGTTATTTGTTTTTTAATAGCAAAATTAAAAAAACCATTGGTACATGATAAACCGTTTACGAGTGAATAACAAAGCAGAAGAAACTTGAGCTTAGATACTCTAAAATTGTGTGTGAAATTTTCAATACAATTTTATTTCATCGGGCCAGGAAGCTCGAAAATTTTATATAATGTTCAATATAAGTTGATATAGTAGCAGTTGCTAAGTATTAAATATTTACRGGCACTATTTTTTTCATAAATATTAAAAATTCAATTTTTGACAAAACTTATTAAAATAACAAATATTTTCAGATTTATTTGTAGACAAAAATTATAAATTTTCTAGTAATTTTCAAAAACGTTTGGAAAAACCCAAATACAGTAACAAAAAAACAGGTAGTTTTACGCATAATCAAATGTTTTGCTATAACTCAAAAACGAATCATTGTAAATAATTGAAATTTTCACCAAATGTTTATATTAGCGTTATCTCTTTACAATAAAATTTATCACGTATAAATAGACCATGTAAATTTTTAATTTTTCAGTTTTTTTTTTTTAAATACCTATAAAAAAATTTGGCTTTCCGAAAATTCTTTAAAACTTATTACAAGGTTTATTTTAAGTTGTACTTATTGTAGTAAAAAAATTCGAAAATCGTTAATCTCAGTTTTTGTTTATAAGCATTTAAAGTTCAAATGTTTACGAAATATGTCAAATTTGCATGGAATTATGAAGTTGAAAATTCATAAAATTTTGTGATTTATACCTATAAGGTGAAAAAACCCAACACAAGATTCTCCATAAATTTTTCTCCAAATAACTATAAAAAAAACTCGTCCAAAATTACATTTAAAAATTAATTACTTATATAAAAAAAAATATATATATTATAATTTAAGTATAGGTTTATATAATAATCCTAGATTAACAAATCATCCCTGTTCAGAATCGTTTTTTGTATACAACGATTGTTGTCATAGCATTCAAATTTAACACATCCATTATAGTTACCTACTCTCCATCTCTATTATACAGCAAAGCGATGCTCACTTTTTTTAATTTTGACCTTTTAAAATTCATTAAAAATTATATTTATAATTTATTTTGTATTTAAAAATGTATAAAATGWTMAATTTWTATAGCTAAGGATTGAGCATTTCAAACATATTATTCTCGGGAACTCGGGAACAGTGTTTATTTCAAATATAATGTTTTACAGTTAGGACAAAATACTTGCTGTTTAGCTAATATGCTTATAGTAAACAATATTACTTAAGTAACAATATCATAAAATGTACATAATATCTATTTTTATTTTATTTTTATTMATTTATCATATTAACAAAATTTATATTATTGATATATTATATCATCATTGAATTTAAATGTAACACATTCGTGAAACTCACGTGACACATAATGTACAGCAGATCAGTACACTCTTTCCATCCTTTTTATATTTTTTTAACACTTCATTCTCTTATTTTTTTTATTAGCTGTATCATATTAAATATCTTTTAAAATATTTTATTATTATATAAAATAGTACACCTATGTCATGAATAAACTATTGAATGAAAACAATTTACTTTTTAGGTAAAAGTCTTGTAAATCTTGATCCAAGAATACAATCAGTTTACAAAATTATTCCTCCAATAATTTTAAAAACAGATTTTAGTGATAAACCAAAATTAATGGCTTCAAAAGAAAGTAATAAATCAAGGCGATCAATTTTACTACACTCTAGTAGTCAACCATATAAGTATCAAACAATCAATATTGATACCATTAGATGTGTATACAATGAAACATTACCAAAACCAATCAAAGAAGATTATATACAAGATGTAATTAATATATTATTATTTTAATATATAGTGTGTTTTATAGAACTTCTTAGAATATCATATTAAAACATAAAACTTAATACATAATAGACTTGTATTTAAATTAAATTAAATTTTAAAGTTTAAACTAAAATTATTAATAAGATGTCAATGGTAATGAATAATACTTATTGAGATTCTTTTTTATATGTACTCAACACATAAAGTGCTCAAATTTAGAGATGGAGATATTAGATTTCCTGTGTATCTAAATTAAATACATACATTTTTTTCTTTAAATATTAGATTAAATATTTTAAATATATTTATTTGTAATGCACATATAAAACAATGTCTCAACATTTGTTCTTGTCCATAACTTTATTATAATTCATAATGTTTATTCAAACTTAAAATAAAAATAATATTAAAGATTTTTGTTTTCATATTTCTTCAAATTCTGAAATTATAATGCAAGTTTTTAAATTTTGGTAAGAAGTTGCCAGTTAATAGTTAATAATAAATATTGGACAAGCTGAATGATTAACTATATCATTTTTATTGTGCACGATAAATATTGTTTCAAAAAAGTCTTAAATTTTCAGTTTCAAAGTTTAATCATATCATAATTAACCTATCAATTAATTTTCTTTACTATGGACAAATTATTGTGCATAATTGTATTTGATATTTTTTAAATAAACCTGCAGGAAATGGGGGAAGAAAATAATGAGCTGCGTGAGACAGAAGTTAAAATATTACAAAGTTATGACAATGAAAGCTTGCAAGTAAATGTAATTATATGTAATAATAGTAGTTAAATGAAAATATTATTTTATAATATTGTAATATACTAATAATATAAGTGAATCCAGTGAATTAGAAAATTATCAGTAAAATGTATACTTTCTTTTTTTAGGATATTACATGTGTCACTCTTGAAAATCAATCTATATTTACCACTGATATTGGGATAATGAACGAAACTGAACATAAAATTGGTCAAATTAAAAAAGATGAAATTAAAAGTGTATCTATTTCACGAAAATCGATTGAGAACATAAAGCAGAAATTTATCAGAATTAAAAAAGAAGCAATGAGTACAATCCCTCACTCACCTCAGTCACCTTTATAAATGCATTAAGTATCATAAGTTTTTGATATTACCGTTAATAATTAAAAATAATCATATTAATTACTATACTAAGTGCATAATAATATTTTAGTATTGTAACAAGTACCTACAGAAACATTTTTAAAATAAATATATCAATATTAACTAACCCAAGTATTCAAGATTAACAAAACTTAATTAACCTACACACAATGTAAGATACTGGTCTTTTATGATTTGTAAATTGATATTTCTAGCATTTCACATTCCCTGTGAAAAATTCAAGATTAACAAAACTTAATTAACCTACACACAATGTAAGATACTGGTCTTTTATGATTTGTAAATTGATATTTCTAGCATTTCACATTACCTGAGATGAATTAGAGTATAGAGATTACATACTTATACTACATCTAATTTGAATAATATATATACATACTTGAATTTTTCACAGGGAATTTAAAAGTTCCTGTTTATTAAGGGCCTAGTGGTGTCCATTAAAAGATGTTGCACTATATATTTTGATGATTATGATATTTGATATAATACCAGTGTGAACAATTATTTCTCATCATGAGAATGTTTCAGTAATAAACATGACAGCCATACATAAAATGAATAACAAACAAAAATCTTGTYTGCGCCTTTTAATTAATATTAGAATATTTATTCTATATATTGACATAACATAGATCWTAATGGCGTATTATAATTAACAATAATATTTTATGAAATATTATAGAATATAGTAAAATATCTT